TCTGCTGTGGTGCGAATCGAATGGGCCATCGGGTCTGACGAAACATCCACCTCAGTTGAGGAAATAGATCCGTGTTTATCAATTGTTTCACCGAATCGAATTCATAATTGCAATTCGTGCAGTCGCTCATTGGTGGATAAAGCTTATAGCTGTTGGAATAAGTAACTGATGATGGAGGTGATCCCCCACTTTGGCTGGAACTCGTGCTTGCATATCTAGCGTCACCATACGTGGGTGAGGAGACAGCTTCTGATTCCAAATCCGCCACCACGTCAGACATCTCACTTTGTGAATCCATTGTGGTTTCTTCGGTTTCATCGGGTTGTGGTTCGACTCCCATGGAACCATCTTCATTGTCAGATGAGGTTGAATCGAAAAGACGTCCAATAACTCCACTAATGCTGTCGCCTTCACTGTCAGCATCAAGGAAGCAGGTAAAGTCTCCACGATGTCGGTGGCCCTCAAAAAATAATCCACCGAACAGGTCATTTGTGCCCTGACCATCCAGTGCCGACCACGTGCAAAAGTCGGAGGTCAACGAGTTCTTAATGGGTTCTGCAGAGGTAAACAATTTATCGAGTTCGATGGAGGAGGTGTATGACGGGTAGGAGTAGTATGAAGGGCATTGATTCGTATAGAACCCGAACCAAGGACAAGTGCTGCATGTCTGCCTGGAGTCTGAGTGGATTTGGTCTTGACGCAAGACGTTGCCGGTGAAGAGGGTATTGTAAAGTTGACCCAATTCGCGCTGATGATGTTGGCTTGCCATAACTTCGATGAAGAAAAAAATGGAACAGGTTCGTTGGCTCTCGTAGTGACGTGGGTCGAACACCAAAATACGTTGAGATGCCATGTCGAATGAAGAGCATTTGCGGTCGTATTGGATCCAACTTTCGTAATCATCCTCTCCGGTTATGGAATGGCGAACTTTGGCGAAGGAGGGGACAGTTTCCGATGTGGCAGTCGATAATTCATCCAGCACATCCACAGTTGACTGCTGAAATCGTAGGAATACGTGGAGAGGGAGATAACACAGTTGCATTTTCTTTTCTCATCACCAACAACTATGCTGAGAAAATTGAGCCAGCCTGTCTTGCCTCCGTCCGTGTCAATATGCGTAATCTACCTCGAAGTTTAAAAAAGAAGCGCCCTTACCTAAGCCGCATGCTTTCCAATCACTTGCCTGTTCAGTGTCTTTTGCAATGCCATTGTCTGCCAACGCTCCCTCCCGCATCGCAACTTCAACCTCCTCCGTTGTATCTACCTCCTCCTCTTGAGTGGGTAGGCAGCCGTTGGCACGGGCCCACTCGCACCACGCGGTGTTGGGCGCAAAACGGTG